CAAAATAAAATATACTCAAAATATTACTTTCCCAGAAGCAAGGAAATTAATAAACACTGTGACATACACAGAAATATCAAAAAGACATATACCAAACCCAAACCAACAAGGACACCAAACATACGAAAATAATCAACCTATAATAAAACCTGAAGTAGTTACTCAACTTATGAACGAGATGAGAACTCTAATCCAAGAAATGAAAACCATTATAAAAACAATCACAGAAAACAAACAACTCTCAAGGAAAACTCAAACACCAAAACATCAACAAACCAAGAGACACAAGCAAAAGCCTAACAAGGAGAACCCAAAAGTACTCTCTTCTGAAGTGGCCTCTACCACTAGGCCATCACAGACTTCACCCAATAGGAAACTACAAAGCAAAAAAAAAAACCCTGATGGGCAGGAGCATAAAAATAGATCAAGATCAACCTCAAGAACAAGAACTGCCCAAAAAATAAATAAATCTGAGGCATTGGAAATAATGGAAACGGAAGATGAGACCCCACAACTAAGCAAAACCCAATCAAGGAAAAAATCTAACCTCAAAACAAATCCCATTAAAAAATTAAAACATGGCTCCACAAGTAATCAAACATCAAAATACCGGAACCATGACTAATAAAATCATCCAATGGAACATAAGAGGTATGAAACCAAACATAAATGAACTACTGCTTTTAATTGGGAACCTATGTCCAATGATAATATGTTTACAGGAGACTTTTCTGAAAGAGAATGACAATGTAAAATTCGTAATTTTACCTCATATAACTATATAAATAATAATACAGATAGAGCCTCAGGCGGCACATCCATACTAATTAATAACAAGATCCCTCAACGCAGAATAGATCTTGACACAAATCTTCAAGCTGTAGCTGCATCAGCCACTTTACATCGTACCATAACGGTATGCTCTATATACATACCCCCCATGATCAGGTTATCGACACGCAATTAGAGCAACTGTTGCAGCAACTCCTAGGCCATTCATTTTATTGGGTGACTTTAACAGTCACAACATCATATGGGGATGCAAAGAAATAAACAAAAAGGTAAAATCCTGGAAAGGATTGTTACGAAAAACGATCTATGCATACTCAACACGGGCACTCAAACACATATAAACCAATTTAGTGGGAATACCTCTGCCATTGATTTAACCATATGTGACCCATCTATCTATATGGACTACACTTGGCAAGTACATGATGATACTTGTGGTAGTGATCACTTCCCAATACTTCTAAATAACACAAAGCCTAATGGGAAAAAATGCCCGTTGGAAACTAGACAAAAGCTAACTGGGAAAAATTTGAAGAAAAATGCAAAGAAAAACTAATACACAAAGAGTCAAACAATGACACAATAGAGTATTTCACTGAAACACTGAACTCTATAGCAGTAGACAGTGTTCCCAAGACTACAACTCCAAATAAACGAAACAGACCCTGGTTCAACAACAAATGCCAAGAAGCAATTAAACTGCGAAAAAGAAGCACTAAAAAAATTCAAAAAAAGAACCAGTAACATCCAATCTGATGGAATACAAATCAAACAGAGCAAAGGCACGAAAAGAGATAAAAGCAGCAAAAAAAGAGAATGCTGGCAGAATTATGTCAGCAAATTGAATTGCTCAACTAAACCAAAAGGCAATTTGGGAAATGATTAAGAAAATTATGGGCAAACAAGAAACAACACCAATAAAACACCTCTCAAAAGACAACTCCATAATAACAGAGATAAAAAAAGCTATAACAGAATTGCTAGCTGAAACCTTTGCCAAAAAACTCATCCAGTCTGAATGGTACAAAAGAATTCATAACCATCAAAGAAGATGCAGAAAAATGTAAACTAAATTTTAAATCAAAAATCTTGAAGATTATAATAGTTTATTGACACTAAGAGAATTGAAAGACTCTATAAAAAAATCCCATAATTCTGCTGTAGGCCCGGATGAAATCCACTATGAGTTTTTAAAAAATTACCAGAAGAATCACTAAAATTCCTTTTAAAAATATTTAACAAAATATGGACAGAAGGAAGGTTCCCAGATATATGGAGAGAGACAACAATGATACCAATTCCCAAACCAAAAAGAGATGGCTTGGACCCACAAAACTATCGACCTATCTCTTTAACCAGTTGCTTGTGTAAAACAATGGAAAGGATAATAAACAACAGGTTGATTTGGCATTTGGAATCAAACAATCTTATTTCCAACTATCAATGTGGGTTCCGTAGTAAAAGAGGCACAATAGACCACTTAATACGCCTTGAAACAAATATTAGAGAAGCATTTATCAAAAAGGAACACCTTACAGCTATATTTTTCGATCTAGAAAAGGCTTATGATACGACGTGGAAATATGGAGTAATGAGGGACTTGAGTAACCTGGGTATAAAGGGTAGACTGCCACAGTTTATTGATGGATTCTTATCTGAAAGAAAATTCAGAGTTCGTGTCGACTCTACACTTTCAGATGTGAAAAATCAGGAAGAGGGTGTCCCACAAGGCAGTATATTGTCCGTAACACTATTTAACATAAAAATAAACACTATAATCAAGGAAATACCACCAGGAACCGATGGATCACTATATGTGGATGACCTTATGATATGTTATAAATCAAAATATATCCACACAATCGAACGAAAACTGCAACAGGGTCTAAATAAAATCAGCAGATGGGCAACAACAAACGGATTCAAGTTCTCTAAAACAAAAACAAAATGTGTCCATTTTTGTCACAAAAGGAAACTCCATAATGACCCTAGGCTGAAACTTGACGGTTCAGAGATCCCAGTTGTAGATGAATACAAGTTTCTGGGGGTAATATTTGACAAAAAACTAACATTTATTCCCCACCTGAAATACTTAAAAACCAAATGTAACAAAACATTACAACTACTGCGTGGTAGCCCACACAAAATGGGGAGCAGATCGAAACACTCTGTTATTATTGTATAGATCCCTAATTAGATCAAAATTGGATTACAGTATTTTTATATACCGTTCAGCCAGAAAATCCTATTTAAAAATGCTTGACCCGATCTACCATGGAGGTTTGAGGTTAGTACTCGGAGCCTTTAGAACGTCTCCAGTCGAGAGCCTATATGCTGAGGCTAACGAAGCACCTGCAAATAGTAGAAGCCATAAACTGGCCCTCCAGTACTATGTCAAATTAGGGTCATGCCCAGCAAATCCTCGTACAATAGTACCTTCTATCCAAAATACAAAGAATTATTCCAAAGGAATGAAAAAAGCCATAAAACCCTTTGGACTTCGGATGGAAACAATTATAGAAGAAGCAGATGTAGATTTGACAAAAATCCATAAAACAATCATACCAGATATCCCACCTTGGACCATAGGAACCCCAAACATAAACTTAACCCTCTGTAAATACTTCAAAAATAAAACCCACCCACTAATTTTCCAAGAGGAATTAGAGAAAGTTAAGGAGAGATATCCTAGGCACTCACATGTCTTCACAGATGGATCTAAAGTAGGAAAAATAACAGGATGTGCCTTAATATATAATAGAAAAATATTTAAAAAACATCTCCCAAATGACACCTCTATATTCAGTGCAGAAGTTTGCGCCCAATTAACATGGCTCTTAACCTCATCTCAGAATCAAGGAACAACAAGTTCATTATCTTTTCTGATTCACTATCAGTATTAGAATCACTAAAAAACAGGAAGTTTGATAATCCATTGATAGTGAAAATACTATGTAAATTAGAACACCTATCAAATGATAATGATATACAGATATGTTGGGTCCCAGGTCACACTGGAATCGATTGGAAATGACCAGGCAGATAAAGCAGCCAGGTCTACTCTAAATATGACCATAGAAAAAATTTCAAAATACCATATACAGACCTTAAAATGAAGATAAATAAATACATACTGCAACAAAGACAACAACGCTGGAACAGCAATAGTAATAATAAATTACTAAAAATTAAACCTGAATTGGGAGAATGGAAACAGAGCTATAGGAAAAATAGAAAAGAGGAAGTGATATTGTCCAGACTTGAATAGGCCATACAAGGACAACACATTCCTACTTACTTGAAGCAAAGCAACAACCAATGTGTTATGCATGCCAGACCGCATACACAGTGAAACACATTCTCATTGAATGTACTGACCTAGCCCATATAAGAGAAACGCTTTATAGTGCAAGTAACATGAAGGAACTGTTCCAAAAAACTGACATGGATAACATAATATCGTTCCTGAAAGCAGTCAATTTGTACCAAAAAATCTAAAAACATAAAAAGTTGGGAGTTTTCTGCAAACTTTTGCTGCAAGGAATGTTTTCAACAAAATCTGATTCTTTCCGCATACCATTTCTCAAAAAAGGAAGAAACTTCCTACGATACAATTCTCTAAAAAAAATTTTTTTGACAGAACCAGATTTTTTCTACAAACCATTTCATTTCTAAAAACCTTTTTCAGCATGGCAAACCTCTCCGTTTGTGGAAATGGAAGGGTCTATTATATTGGAAAATAATATTCCAATAATAACCTGATTTGACATTAAATGACTGAGGAGGTCGATATGTCGTAAAACACAAACAAATCAAAAAAAAAAAAAAAAAATTGCAGGTGTTTTTTTACAGGTTTGGATTTACAGATTACCTAAGAAAATCTGTTGTGCATATATATATATGTGTGTGTGTATATATATATATATATATATATATATATATATATATGTGTGTGTGTGATGACAACTAAAAACAAAACTTTGGAAAAAATAATGAATTCTCTTTATGGTGAGTGGCTGAGGAATGCTAGAAAACATGTCAGCTAAAACTGATCAGAACTTCATAAGAATTTTGAATTTTGAACAGGTTTTTTTTTTTAATTTTCAAAATACTTATTTTGTATAATAAAAAAAAATCAGTATTTTAATTGCCTAAATATACTCTTAACAAAGACACCTTTTTCTAATTCATTTTTCTTTCCTTGCTAGGACATGATACATATAGCTGATACAAAGGTAGCTCGGCGTTATGGAGACTTTTTCATCAGACAAATTCACAAGTTCCAAGATGTGAGTTCAGTTTAATGTGTTTTGTGTGTGAGCTCAATTTTTACAATTTCAAACCCTTAAAAAACAAGATTAATCTTAGAGTAATGTTTGTGTAGCAACCAAGTTTTCATAAAAACATTTTTAAGTAAATTGAAATTACTAAATATCTTTCAACAAATATGCCTGGAAGTAATTAGTTATTACCTAAACTTTGTTGTGTCTATCTTGCTGACCATTATACTAGTCACTCAGCCTGAAAGTAATTGACAAATAAAGAGAATGTTAAGCATCATATTTAATGAAAAAGTAAAATGTGATGGAAATGTTTCTGGAGAAAAAACTTAATTTTATTTGTCTGTTTCAGGTAATCCAAACGATGAAGAATACAGGAACTAACTAAATGTGCTGGATTAGCTGTTCTCTAAACCAAATTGTTTATGTAAGGAATCTTGTGTTCTGTTCTGATCTTAAGCAGCAGTTAACAATGACTACAGACACTGTTTACAGAGTTCAGATATTTCTGTATTGTTTAATCTTCATTAAATAAAAAGTAAACTAATTTACTCTTTACTTTTTTCTCTCTCTCTCTCTGTACAATCTATTTTTGAAAAACTTCAAAATACCAATGCTCTTCAATTAATTCTTTCAGTAATAATCCTAAGATTTTAAAGCATATTTAGAGCTATATGTAGTATATGAAGACACTCAAATACCTTGGCAATTTTTTCAATCTCATTACCTCCAGGCCAGGTAAGAACTAAAATAGAGCACAGTATTTACATTAGTCGGACTATTGTCCTCATCTTTGTCGCCATATTTGTCACAACGTTTGACGTTTATGCGCTCCGGCCTTCTTCAGGTGGTTTGGATTTTGAACTGAACCCTTTATTTGATCGCTGGGGTAGACTGTTCTAATTCCACGTGCCATGTTTGATGGATGTCAGTTATCAGTTATCTCCTGCTAATTTTCCCTCTGAAAGTTCTCCACTGCCTTAACCAGGACACATGGCACAGTGGATAAAGGCGTTAGTTAGATCAGTGACAGACCCAAAGAAGGTGAGTTCAATTCCTGGTTAAGGCAGTGGAGAACTTTCAGGAGGGAAAATTAGCAGGAGATAACTGATAACTGACATCCATCAAACATGGCACGTGGAATTAGAACAGTCTACCCCAGCGATCGAAATAAAGGGTTCAGTTCGAAATTCCAACCACCTGAAGAAGGCCAGGCGCATAACGGCGGCAAACGTTGTGACAAATATGGCGACAAAGATGAGGACAATAGTCCGACTAATGTAAATACTGTACATAATACCTCATCTCAGAAATATAGACAAACTCTAAAATAGAGCAATGATTATAATTGCATCTATTTAGTAGTAAGTAAATTAATGTATAGGATCTCTTGTATAGGTTATGTTTTCTTTATTGTATATGATTAACTGCAGATACAGTCAAGTGTACAGTTTCAAAACATTTAAACTATCCAAAAATCTATCAAATTTCTATGAAATTTTCAGCACTTATTTGTTAATGAAGTTTATTTTGTGAGCAAACTTTGTGTGTGTTTTGTTCAATTACTCTTATTTCATACACTTTTAAAATAAAATCGTGACTTAATGAAATCTAAACATCTGATTAAGTACTCACATGTCAAATAAGTTGACATTTTATTCAATATTGCATGTTCTTACATAGAAATATGCCCTTGATCTTAAAAAGATACAATAAAACTTTGAAATTACTTTGAACAAAAACTTGTTAATAGGTTATAGATAAAAAAAACTATAATATCAGATTATTATTTTCATAATATAGGATTTTTTTTATTGTGGGCATAAATGGGTTAAATAAAATTGTAAACTTTTGGTTTTGATAGACACAGTTAGAAGATTAATGAATGAGGACCTTGTCATTGCCTGAATGACTGGCCAGTCTACTCTAAAAAGCATAATTACTGTACATCTTGATTCAATAATGCTCACATATGTACCAGCTTGCAAAACTGTATCCCATGTACAGATTTGTGCAAGGATGAGCTATTGACTGTCAACATGATATATCAGTAATGTTCTCATATCTGCTTGGTGCTACCTTATCTATTAAGCTGGATATCTTGTTTTGCTACAAGCACTACACTATATACCCACATAAAAATTATGCTATAAATCTCGGTCACAATTTTCTATAAAAAGTTATTTTTGATATTTGGTCTTTGAAATCCTTGAGATGCTTTGTGCAAGGCAACAGTTATCAGTTCTTACACCTGTAATCAATACTGGTGGTTTATTCTGTGTCAGCAGTCCCATGTTGAAACCAGTTTAGTCTGTGCAAAAAGGAATTCAGGAGAGAATATTAGGAAAATATTGATAGAAAAGAATTTGAATAGGATTTCAAAGACCAAATATCAAAAATAACTTTTTATAGAAAATCGTGACTGAAGTGGTATTCTGAAATGTATTCTGTATGTTTTCTCAAACATCTTCAGGTTTTGTTTGCTAAAACTATTTTCTTTTTTAATCAATTATAATCCATTCCTTACTTTCTGAAAACAATATTTTTTATAAGTTTCAATTAATAAGAAAAAACAAATATAAAGGGTTAAAAATTACCAATACTACACAATGACCAAATTATGTACAGTATGAATGAAGTGTTGACTTTGTCATACTAAATATCAGCTAATCTGACTTGCTATTCATAACACCATGAGGATTTTTTTTTTTTTTTACTGAAATAGAATAATAAATATCTTTGGTTTCTGCACACAGTCAAGAATATCCATTTGGCTTTCAACAACTTTTGTTTATTATAAGGATATGTGTAACATAACTAGTAAGAAAAGACAAGAATGCTGAGAGTTATAGCATAATTTTTATGCAGATACATACTATAGTCTATATTGTCTATGTGGCCTGCAGACTTTCACCACTGAAATTGGCAAATCTTCTCATCTCGCACATGTTTCTTAAATAATCCTTTACCATTATATTGATGTGTGGCTTAATGATCTTTTGTTTTGCTTCAAAATGCTTTATACAGATTTGAGATGGGTAGAAATCTTAATTTACGAGAAAAATTATGCAAAAGTGCTGCATTGATTAGAATAAAATGGTGTAAAAATGAGTACATATATTGAAGCTGATGTCTGTAGGTATTGAACTCCCTTCATGTAATCCATTTGAATTGAGTATAGGAACTATATCAATTTTACTGCCATCAAAATTTGATGTTCTGATATTGTAGCTAAATGTTTTTTTGATTCTGTCTGATGATTCTGCTTTTGTGTGAGTTCTTGCTGAATGCAATGCATTGAGATGTTTAATAACTATCACTTATTTATGCCTCTTCTAAGTTGACTCTCCATAATTGATGGTATATTAGTGTGGTTGCCCTATATCCAAGGTGATTTTGCATTGACTGCCCAGGTAAAAACATTTATTTCCATTTTGGGATCTTCCTCCATCATTTTCTGTATACAGTCATCTATAATATAGTGGTCTCTCTACTATATATCATTTGATCATGGTGAGTATGCAGCAGTGGCACAAATCTCTATATTCTGCATTATCAAATTTGAAGGTCAAAAACCAGCAGCTATCCACTCAGTTGCAGCATTATCTATAATCACTTTAGGAGTTTTTCTTCTACTCACTTTTACTGAATCTAGTGAAGAGATCAATAAAATGTAAAAAGTAAACCTCTTTATATTGCTTTAGATCCATTGCCACTACATCATTAAATTTCCTAGCCAAGAGATAACTTTGGTCTTGAATCTCTTACAAATTTCGCATCTATTAATAATATCGTCAACTAACTTTTCACATTCTTCAAATGCATCAGCATTTATGATGGCCTTTAGATTTTTAGCTGAAGGGATGTGCATACTGGCAATATAGTTTATATTATGTCATAATCTTTTCTTCGCATGATTTCTGTTTAGCCACCATGTGCACCTTTTCAATTTTTACTTCACATTTTTTCAGTGGAATGTCTTTTTTAGTAATGTCCAGAGGATGTTGCATCCAATTCAAGAGATCTTTCATTGACTTCAAATGTGACATTCTCCATGTTTTAAATTGATTCCCATTCTTTTCATATCTGGTTCACTTATCACTGTCTACTACTTCTGTTCTTAGGGTTATCTTTTGACTACCAATAATAAAAGGAATCTCTATTCCTTCATCCAACTGTATTTTGCCTCCTGCTCCAAACTCAAATGTTGTTCCACCTAATAGAAGTTTTAACTTTTCTTTTGCTTGCCAATAATGAAGCCAAATACATCTAACATCTAAGCAATTGTTTTACTGGAAGCACTATCTAGAACAGCAGCATTGATTGTTTCACTCATGAGGACCTGGTTATTATGTGAGTAAGCACATACTTTATAAGCTCCTAACTACAGCATTTTCCTGTACTTTTGATGTTTCAAAAGCACTTGCTTCTTGATTTCTTTTTCTATGTGGACAATCCTTTTTGAAATGCATAATTAATTTGCACACCGAACATTTAAGGTTAATTACTGGCTTCATCACGTGGGTGATAAATGTAAGTTGTACTTACTCTTTCCCAGTATGCTTCTCTTCCTGATCTACCTCTTTGGAAACCTGTACTCTTAAATTATACTTCATCCAGTTTAGACATCTCTCTCCCACCATAACTATGTCCTTTGACTCTTGTTCCTCTGTTATTATTTCTACTTCCAGAAACACGTTTCCTCTCATCTGATCTCAGTCTATATAACATTCTTTGATTTCCAAAAAAATTTCTCAAGGCATTCTTCATTTGTTCATATATTTCCTCTTTCTTCATATAATCAACCACTGTAAGAACAATTTATTTGTCTTTTTTATTCAATCCAATGCTGTCCATAAGTCGTTGCCCAGCCAAGACTGTCAGGTAAAATGAAGCCTTGCATTTTTAGCTCTTTGACATATTTCTCATTGAGAAACATATCCATGATACCCAACTCTTTCTCTAACTGCAAACCAACAGACTTATCACAGTTGATCATGGGACCCCTGTCACCAATCTCAGCTCTGCTCAACACACAAACCAAAACATCAGCGGCATAGACAGAATACCTGACTGTGGTGGTAGCACCAGACAAGGAAATTCTCCATTTGCCTTGTGAAGGAAAGGCTCCAATGTGAGAACACAAAGAAAGGGTGAAAGTGGACAACTTTGACATATGGTGTGGGACAATACGAAAGGTTCCGATCTTGTTTCATTTAGTTCTACCAGTGCATCGAGGGGTGCATACAGAACTGGAATCCAGATGCGAAAGTGTGGCCCGAAACTGGCAGCGAAAAGGACAGCCTCCAGAAATCAATGGTCAAATCTATTCAATACTTATCTAAATTGATCGGCACAGCTTCACTGTCAACTTGCTCAATGATCAAG